ATCCAGCAAAGAAGTGGCTGGGGCGAGCGCGGCATGCAAATTTGGGTGAAATTTGTTCGTCCCTTGGAAGCAATGGCACCCACAGACTACAGACCCGGGACCTCCCTGGCAACCCTGTTTAAAGGAGGTCTAGGCTGTGAGCGGGAGGAGTCCGAGGCTTCCCAGCTGCGGGCCGCCTGCCTGGCGCAGAGGGGTGGTCAGAGGCTTCTCCTGCGGGGTCCCGGGCGCCCCACGCACCGCAGGAGTTGGTTCTCCGGACGCCAAGAGCTTGTCGGAGCAACTCTCAGGGGCTCTTTGCGGCGCGTCGCGCGCTCGGGAGAAGCAGCTCTTCTCAACTCCGGGCGGGCGGGGCGCTCCTCTCCCTACAGGTTTGCTTTAATGATTTTCTTGAAAGAAAGAGACAGTTGTGAGCAAACAGGTTTGACAGGGACTGCGTCCCCCCACGCCCCCCAGGGGATTTCTTTTTGTCTGCGCTTGACTTCAAAGTCAGTAATCGGCCCCTGTCAGCGGCCTGACGAGGAGGATTTCGGCTGTTTGTTAGGGCTAGTCGCGGCCGCTCACCTCGGCGGACGCTCGGGGGCCCGCGGGGCAAGGGAGGCGAAGCCGAGGCAGGCCCCTCCGGGGGCCAAGCTGGGACCAGGTGTAAGGAGGGCGGCTGGCCCGAGAAAATCTGTTTGCTAAGAAAACCAAGTGTGATGAGCAGAAGCGGCTTGTGCCAGTCCGGGGGCTCGAACTGGGACTCAGCTTTCTGCAGGCTGGAAAGAGGTCTCAGCCACCTGGCCGCAGCCTCCCGGTGCTTTCCCGTTACCACGCACCCTACTTTCCTGGACCTCCACTTGGGGTCCCCGAGACGTGGCGCAATCTGGAACCCCGGTTGCAGTTTTCCTGTTTCTGCTGCCGTCTGAGGCCTTAGCCACTCGGACCCGCCTCGTCCCCATTTCCGGCCAAACTCCGCTACGGAGCTGCTGGGCGCCCTAGTGGGGCCTCGGGTGCAGGGGGGCTTCCTTCTCCGGGTGGGGTGCTCTGTGCGCCTGGAGCGCTCCTGCACCGGACTCTGCAGGGAGACACCCAGACCCCTGTAAGCTTCATCTTAGGAGATGTTAAGGGACACTGAGCTATGAGGGAGATCAGAGCGGCTGACAGGACTGTCAGTTGGGGTTATATCAGACAGGGAAACCGCAGCCTCTGTCCCAGTCCTCCTTGGCTTCTAGTGGGAGTGAGGAAAGACTTTCCCTATACGCCCAGGCCCCCCAGACCGGACAGCCACCAGAGGCAAGTCACTTCCTAATTGTCTCGATTTGTAAGAGGGTTTTGTAATGCTAAGTAAGCGTGGCGCTGCCCGCCCGGCCTCCCCCCGCGCCTCCCCCGTCCGCCTTTGTTTACCTTCGCCGGATCGCTCATTTATTTATCTATCTATTATTTATAGGCGTCCCCTTCTATTCAGTGCCCGTGTATGTTAATTGTGTTATACCATTTAATTCTAACATCGGTCTCAAAAGAGCTCTTAATGAGAAAAGCATATACAACACGGATCACTTTGCTATTCAGCTCAGCCAGATGGACAACTGCTAACTTTTTTTTTTTAATAATGAAAATCCCCCTTTGACAAAGGGGATGAGATGAATAGGCTCCGAATAGCACCTCAAACACTTCTAATTGTTTTGAGGACAATATGCTAATCCCAGGGTTTTGGCTTTGGTGTCTGTTGACAACGTTTTTCCTGCACCTTGAGCCACAGACCCCTTTGGAAAGGCAGAGGCAAGAGCACAAATCCCTCAACAGCAGCAGAAAGCCGACAACCCCCTAGGCTGCCCCACCCCCACCCAGCACATTATGGAGCCAGGGGGAAAAGCGCGCGACTTGCCGACAAACACGCGTGTGCGCGGCTTTGGGGGTGAGGCTTGGAGACACGGCGGGGGGAGGAGAACACCCTTCGATTTTGAGAACAATTCCGAAGAGTTGCAGGCTGGCATCAGGGGGTCATTTCTTCTTACAAAAAACTGAGTAATCTTTAAGCAAACATTCACCCAAAGGGGAAAGAAAAGGACTCTTTTCCTTGTTTGTTATTTAATTTTTATGATTTTTTTTAACTCCTTGTTTGAGCCATGCCAAAGTCGCCTTCCTTTTCCCTTTGCTCCCTGCAGTATCTTAGTGAAAAGTCTTCCATAGTCTGGGGCGGGGACCTAGGACACGTTTTTCTACATTTTTTCAGTTTTATTTTTAAACTTAGGAACCAGTGTTGCGCCTCAAATCCCCAGAGGAGCCAGGGGCAGCGTTTCCAAACACCTAAAAAAAAAACAAAAAAAAAACCCAAACCCAAACCTGATTCCACCCATCTTCCCAAAAGCTTTGAACTTAAACACCCACCCCTCAGGACACAGTGCTGTGCACGCAACTGGTTCTCAAGAGCTTCTAGCCTCCTCCCCATTCCTTTGGAGTTTGGTTTTTTAAAAAGCAAACCCTTCTAGATCTCAGAGGTCTGAGTTTGGCCTTTGTCTCAGTTCATTTGTCCCTGGAAGTGGTTTGACCCCTTTGTGAAGAATGATCAAAAACAGTGATGTCCCAGGGACAGATACCTTTGTCTAACCTCCAAAGGCAAAAAGACAGTCTCCTGGTCGGGATCCCAACAGATCCCAGACTCCAGTCCTTCTATCCCCTCCGGGAGACCATGAAACTGGGCCAAAGCAGGGCAGCGGCCAGCGGTCACTACTAGAAGAGCTGCTCTGTGCACTCTAGCCCTCCCAGAGACCCAACTTCCCAACTCCGCGGACCTGGCCTCCTGACTGTAGATTTTATGCACATCAAAGGTTACTTTTTTTTTCTTGCAATGACAGATTGTCTTTATTCAAAATGTCTTTGTTCAACAAATGAATAGAGTAAGGAGGTAAAATCCTTCTAGGTACATTTTCAAGACATCGTCAAAACATTTATGACCATTTAGGATGTTTTTATTCTTTTAATTCTTTGTTTACTTTCTACTTCCTGACTTAATAACCTGACAGTCTGTCTAAAAGTAAACTTAGGTCTCTAGGAGCACTGCTTTACACAAAGTAAATAACCATGTGGGTCCTTTTTGTTTTCCCTTTAAAGAAGCAAATACTATCATAGCATGGTTTTAAATAGAAATGTTTCCCTTTCTGTAGTTTAAAACTTTGAAGCCTCCCCCACCCCCAACACATGAAGAGCAAATAGCGCCTAGTTGTGTCTGATGGCCAAACATAGAGACACAGCTCTTTTTTTCAGGGGCCAAAAGAAAAATATATATGCATATATGTAGTATCAGGATATGGGAGTTTGGAGTCCAAAACCTATCCGAGGAGAGTGAAGGGGACATAAGTAAAGCAAAACTGCCTACTTTTTTGTCCAAAAGGGGTACAGTTGCAGATTGGTTTTGGGAGAATCGGATAGGGGCAGCTATGTAGCTGTCATAACGTTTACAAGTTTCTGGCACCTGTCTGCGCCTCGGGTTGGGGAGAACGGCTCCTCCCATTCCCCCCCGGAAAGGGAGAGGAGAAGTCTGGGGTGGTGTAAGGGACAGCAGCAGGGCTGGCCCAGAGGCTTCTGCAGGACAGGGCTAGGCGCAGAGGACAGGGTGCATACCCCAATTCCAGGCCACCCCTCAGGTCCAGGCCAGGCTGGGGGTTACATGGCAGTGGCGTGGGCTGACGAGTAAGGGTCTATGCCAGTCTTGGTCATGCCTGGGAAGAGGATGTAGGCGACGGGGGGCTGCAGGGTGGAGGCAGACCAGGCGGTACAGTTACAGGGCACCACGTAGCCCGGGTTGGTGGGGGACGGGTGCGTGTGCGTATGCTGGCTGGGGCAGCTGAGGCTGCCGAAGGCGCCGTTCTGGTAGCCCAGGGTGGACGCGTAGGGCAGCGCGCTGGTGGCCAACGTGTGGGGCACTTCACCCATCTTCTGGATGGCACTCGAGCTAAACTGCGCGGGGTCCAGCAGGGAGTAGGGCGCTGAGGCCGGCGGCAAGAAGGCCCGAGCTTTCTCAGGCGCGCTCAGGAGGCCGTCGGAGGCCCCCACAGGCAGGCCGGCCGCCTTGAGCGGGTCCGTGTCGCCCAGGTAGGGCAGGGGAAAGACATACCTGTCCTTCTTGAGCAGGTTCTTGGGCTTGCGCCGGGGCCGGTACTTGTAGTCAGGGTGCTCCTTCATGTGCTGGGCGCGTAGCCTCTTGGCTTCGTCGATGTATGGCCGCTTCTCTGCCTCGGACAGAAGCTTCCATTCCGCACCTAAGCGCTTGCTGATCTCCGAGTTGTGCATCTTGGGATTTTCCTGGGCCATCTTGCGCCGCTGGCCCCGGGACCATACCATGAAGGCGTTCATGGGCCGCTTGATGTGGTCTGAAGGTTTGGACATGGTCCGGGTGGCGAGGCGGGTGGGGGGGGTGGGGCGTGCAGGGGTTCTGCAGGCAAGCCTGGGCGCGGTTGGCCGTCTCTGTCTGTCCGTCCCGAGCTGGAGCTGTGAGTTCCCCTCGCCTCGGACCCGCTGAGGGGAAGCCAGAGAGAAGAGCTGACACCGCAAAGTTCAGCTGATCATGCCAGTCCCAGCACCCAGGCAAACCCTGGGCGGCGAGGGGGGACAGGAAGGGCGGGGGGAGGAGATATGAGGGGAGGGGAGGGGACTGCGAGCAACACAGGCTAGGGCCCAAGTCTCAGAGTCTCCGGAAATAAGTGGCCAGGTAATTTTCTGGCCAGGGCAAGAAGCTCCTCCTTATCCCCCTCTCCACCTTCGCCTTCTCCGGTTCCCCTCTGTCCTCCTGCGTCTCCGGCGGTGGCTCCCCCCACTCCAGTGGTTTCCCCGGAGCTGCCCAGCCTAGCGCTGCACCTGGCTGAGAATGCAGGGAAGCTGGTGAACAAGAGCCAAAAGCGGCGAAGTTCAAAGGCGAGGTGGGCCGGGACAGCGGCACTCTGACATAAGCGCGGGGCGGCGACTCCCCAACCTGGGCGCCAATCAGCGGCAGAGAAGGAGAGGGGGCGCACCTGCCGCGCGCCTGTGGAGGAAAGAGGGAGCGCGACTGGTGGGGGCGGGGAGAGGTGTGAGGGACCCAGAAGGCAGGAGAGGCAGAGAGCAGAGCTGCTGCTGGCTCTGGAGTGGGGACTCGATTCCAGTTGTCTCCCTCGCTGTCAACAAATAAAACTCTTCGCACCTCCTGTTTCCTTACCCAGCGGTGAAAGAGAGAATTAGGGCTTCGCATACAAAGGCCCAGGGACGGGACGCAAAACGAAAGAGAGAAGAGCTCCTGTTGATAAATAGGACAACCTTACCACGAAATGCAAGGACAGCGCTTTCCCCTCTTGTCAAAGATCCTTGGAAGAGAAAAAGAATGTATCAAACGCAGGGTAAAAAGCCAAATAAACTTTTTGCACCAGACCAGACCCTTGGTGGTCTTTTGGAGCGGCGTTTTCCTGGGGTGTCCCTGCTTCTTGGCCTTCACCCCTGCCCCAGTTTGCAGCGCCTGGGGGTGTCTCTCGGCCCCGGGGGTGCTGAGCAGTGCCCTCTGATCTGATACAGCAAGGCCCTGAGTCTAGCATCCCAAAGATTTTGAACCCTGGTTGCTGAGCCTTTAAGAGCCCCATGACCTGCTTTTCACTTTCCGGGCTGGGGGTGAGGGTGGGATTTCTATTTATGGTTCCTATTTACGTTGTTATTTAACGTTTTCAAACCTCCAATTTTTCCTCCACAACTGCCAAAATTGTAAGGACATCCTGGAGGCCAAGCATCGGGCTTTCCTAGTGGCACTTCTGATGTATCGGCAACCAGGTTCGGTTTGTCCCTGGGCGCCTCTTCCCACCCAGCGAGGCTGTGAGACTCGTTTCTTGCGTCAGATGAGCATTCTTCGGGTAAAGAGGACGAAATAACCCGCAGAGCCAACCTGCGCGCCTGTTTCCTTTGAATAATTGCCTGCCCGGTGTGAAATGCCCTTGAGGGAAATATTTATTAAATGGAAACCATTGTCCCAGGCCCCCGGGACCTGCTTGTGTTCCAGGCTTATTGGCTTTTGCACCAGCCTCTCTCGGGAGGTTGGACCAGAAACGGCACTGGCTCTATAGGCTTGGAGGGGACTGCAATGGAGGAAAATAGCAGAGAGCCAGGAAGCGGAAAGGAAGGGTCTTTCTCCAGCGTGTATTGTATCAGGTTTGAGAAGACTTTGCTTCTCCTTCCTACAATGAGAAAGATACGTGCAAGTTCTTACCCTTAGCACGCTCTTCAAAGAGATGGGCGCTATTCCCATTTTACAGATTAGGAAACTGAGGTTGAGAAAGGCAATGTGATTTGTCAGAAGTGACTCTGGGAGGAAAGTAGTGATGTCTGGTGCACAGGATGTGAAAAACCCTAGTTCCCCCCGACCCTATGCACTCTCATGTCTGAGGATTTGATGATGCTGCAGTCAAACTTAGAACACTTCCCAAAACTTTTGGAGCGGTATAATCCTGCCACGCAGATAAACCGCACTGTAAGACTGACCATGCTATTCATTTGTTTAGCCCAGGGCGCCACCTCCTCACAGGTTGGCAGCAGGTGCACAACCTTTACATTCCTGCTCAGCCTCAGTTCAGTCTACCCCCAAGAGCCTTGGTCTGGGCCTCTAACTTTGTAATTTCCGCAGGAAGTTTCCCTTAACTTGGGGTCTTAGGAAGTAGCAGCACCTTTCAGCCCAGCAGGGGCAGGGTTTCCAAGTGCTCCAGGCAATCTCTACTGAGGTGTGATAAGGAGGGCGCTATGGTCAGAGCCTGCCAAGGATCATAGATCCAGGGACCACGTGATTTCAATTCTATCGGGTCATCATGTCAGCTTTTGGGAAGGAATAAGAGAAATACTGATTAACTTCAGAGAGGTCCGACGTCCCCCACCTGGAATCTTCAGGGGACACCAAATCCATAACCCAGAGTTTTGGGTTAACACTAACAAACTTCTTGGAAACTGCTGGAAGAGGGGATCCAGCACAGGATCCTCTGCCTTTTCTGTTCTCTCAGCGTTCAGGCCAATCCATTATAACTGCCCCAAGGCAGTTCCCAGCAAGTAAGCGCCTTTCTTCAATTCCCCATATTTCCTCCTTCCATAGCCAGTACTCCTCTCCAAACCTCTGGTGTTCATTCCTAAGGCGCAATTTAAAAACTATTCGCAATCTAGAGGAGATTAATACGGAGGGAGGGGGGTGGTAATTTCTGGTCAAGGCGACTTCTGACTTCTAGGGGTTCCGGAGCCCTAGGCTCCCTGGGCAGGCTGCGCTGACCCAGTAAGGTGCCGGCATCTACCAGAATCTTGCTCTTGAAATACTAACTCAGCGCTGGGCGGGACACAGGGATGGGGACAATGCACCTTCCAGCCTTGCATTCACTTGCCTTTTAGGTGAACCGCGCAGGAGCGCATGGCTCTTACGTACGTACGCAGTGCCGGGTGGCCACCAGTTTATTCAGAACTGCCCAGAGCTGGGAGGAGCTTAGGGGTTCCCCAGGTCTTGGGGTCGGACTTGGTGCTGTCTCCACCCGGATGCGTTGCATGTCCCTTTGCGCTGTGTCTCCCAAACAGGCCTTAACCACAGGGCAGCATGTCAGAAGAGATAGCCCTTGGGGATAATTAGCAACTTCAATAACCCCTGGAACAGACTATAGGATAGAGGTTGCCTAAACGCTCCTCCTGCTTTGTTAGCAGCCTAAAGTTTGGGCCTCAGGCTACCAGTCCATTCTCCAGGGATAAAAAGAAGTCCCTTGGATGAGTTATTTCCACTTCAACATTTGCTTAGAGAATCTATGCACACACTCAGTACGCAGCGCAGTTACTCAGAGGCTTGCCAAGTGCTGGCCTTAGCCAGGTGTCCAAACCTCTTATCTAACCCCAGGCATTCTGCCAGTGATATGTCTCCTGGCTGTTCCCACCAGTGTGAAGGAGAAGCCTCAATAAAGACCATATCCACTTCTCTCCAGCCTTTTGCCTCTCTCCACCTGGCAGAGTCCAGGCTGCACCGTAGGAAGTACTTCCTTGTTCTTTTATTCAACTCTTTTATGTTCCTCAGGTGTTGGTTCAAGGCTACCACCACCCTGAAAAGCCTTTTTTTCTGGGCTGGGACAGGATCCTTTAAAGTTGTCACTCTCAGACCTCTATTTCAAGCTGCTTTCCCAGCCTCATGTGGAGCCCTGTTGCAGTTCACCAGAAATTGAGCTCATCTGGGGATGGCTGCATATTCTTCTTCTTTGGGTGCCACATGTCCTTATAACTCCAAGAGCAGAGAAGATGCTCAATTGTTTCCTTCTGCCCAAGCCCAGGTTAGCTTTCCTGACAGGCCTTTCCTGTCTTGGATCTGCTGGGAGAGGTCCTCAGACACAGGTTGGTAGAGCCAGACACAGAATCTGGAACCAGGAGGCCTGTACCCACCTGCCTAGCAATAGTGCTCCATCCTGCCATTCTTGCTGGTGGGTAAAGGTCACAGCTTCCAGGCCTGTCGGACTGGGAAATGGCTGACTGCTGAGAGGGGGATACAAAGAACACGACTTGGAGAAAGTGGTTGGGGTGGAAAGAGGGGACCTGGTGATGCAGGGGATTTCAGAAATGAGCAGGGGAGTCATCTGCTATGCAGAGGGGCTGTGATGCTGGGAACTTGCTGGGCATGGAGTCCTGCCCACTCACTGGGGACCCTTGGGATTGTGGTGAGGTGAGCAAAGTAGAGGTACTTGTTACTGGGAGCTTGCATGCAGCTCCGACTCCGGCTCCAGCCTGCTGCTGGGAGTGTGAGTGTCAGCTCACTCAGGTGTTTAGCGAGAGGAGTGGAGTGTTACTCAGGACCCAAGCCCTAAGTGGTGATGACTCAGGAACCAAACTTAGGGTGATAAATTGATCTTAGGAAATAATGCACTTTGGCTAAATCAGAAACTTCTAATTTTTCTTATTACTAAAAATTTGTAATATGTGGTACACCTGATCCTCCTCCCCAGTTTTCTATTTTAAATTTCAAAGACGTCATATATCCTGCTTCTAGAGTGCTCAGAAGAATCCAGGGCTTCTGCCTTATTAATACATTTCCTGGTAAATGCTCAGGAGTCTTTTCTCCAGAATCCAGCATGAATAAAATTCACATGTCCCTTGCAGGCAAGAAGGTAGAGGAGGGCTCCTGCTCATGCCAAGAAACAAAGAGAAACCAAACAAAACCCGGTCCCAGGACAGATGCCTGAAGTGTCTGCGACAGAATGTGTTTGCAGTTGTGAATCTGCTAGAGCCAGCGAGCTGTGCTGAAGGACCCTTCTTTCTCAACACCTCAAGCATGCCCAGGTAAGGAGACTTTTTGATGCTTCAAGCTACCTTAACTTGAGCAGTTTAACTGAATCTATTTGGAGCAGAGATCATGTGACTCACCCCCTCAGGTGCAAGTTTAATGAGAACTGCACAACATCAACATTGCACTCATCTCCCAGAAAATAGAGGAGATGGGAGCAGGAGTAGAGCTTTGAAATTCTCTTATTCTTTCATTAATTTGATGGCTCTTTATTGAGCACCCACTATGTGCCAGGCACTGTGCCCCTGTGCTAGATACCGGGATACAGGAGTAAACAAGACCTACGATGGTCCTTCTCCTGTTTATTGTCTATCCTCTCATTGGGTTATAATAATGATGATTGATATTAGGGATGGACAAGAAACAATTTCCTCAGGGCAATTCCTGGCTCTGCCCTCAAGTGGTTGTGTCACTTCAAGCAAAGTATTTAACTTGCCTGTGTCCTGGTTTCCTAACCTATAATACAGGTATGATGAATTGTTATCAGGACTAAATGATTTACTATAAGAAACATACTTAGAACAGTGCTGGAAATATAGAAACTGCTCAACAATTGGTCAAATTTTATCATTAAACATAAAGAGT